CCACCTAGGAATTCCTACCTGGGCATTTCCCTGGCACTAAAAATCTCATTTCAGGGGGAAAAAAAAAATTCCTATTTTCAGGGAAAACCCAATCCCGTTTCCACAAGGGGAAAAAAAAATCCTTTTCCCAGGGGGAAGAAAAATCCTATTTTCAGGGGGGAAAAATCTCATTTCCAAGGGGGGGGAAAATCTCATTTCTACGAGGGGAAAAGTCCCATTTACAGCGGTGGGAAAAAATCTCATTTCTAGGGGGAAAAATCCCATTTACAGCGGGGGGGAATCTCATTTCTAGGGGGAAAACAATCCCATTTCTAGGGGAAAAAAAATCCCATTTACAGGGGAAAACAATCCCATTTCTAGGGGGAAAAATCCAATTTCCAGGGGAAAAAAATCCCATTTCTAGGGGGAAAAAAAACCGATTTCCATGGGGAAAAAACCCCATTTCCATGGGAAAATAATCCCATTTCTAGGGGAAAAAAATCCCATTTCTAGGGGGGAAAATCTCATTTCCAGGGGGGGAAAAATCTCATTTCTAGGAGGGGAAAAGTCCCATTTACAGCGGGGGGGGAATCTCATTTCTAGAGGGAAAAAAAATCCCATTTCTAGGGGGAAAAAATCCCATTTCTAGGGAAAAAAAAATCCCATTTCCAGGGGGGAAAAAATCCCATTTCTAGGGGAAAAAAATCCCATTTCTAGGGGAAAAAAATCCCTTTTTTAGGGGAAAAAAAATCCCATTTCCAGGGGGGAAAAAATCTCATTTCTAGGAGGGGAAAAGTCCCATTTACAGCGGGGGGAATCTCATTTCTAGGGGGAAAAAAAATCCCATTTCTAGGGAAAAAAAATCCAATTTCCATGGGAAAAAAAATCCCATTTCTAGGGGAAAAAAAATCCCATTTCTAGGGGGAAAAAATCCCATTTCTAGGGGAAAAAAATCCCATTTCTAGGGGGGAAAAAATCCCATTTCTAGGGGAAAAAAAATCCGATTTCCATGGGAAAAAACCCCCATTTCCAGGGGAAAAAAATCCCATTTCTAGGGGAAAAAAATCCCATTTCTAGGGGGAAAAAACCCTATTTCCAGGGGAAAAAAATCCCATTTCTAGGGGGAAAAAACCCCATTTCTATGGGAAAAAAACCACTATTTCCAGGGGGAAAAAATCCCATTTCCAGGGGAAAAAAAATCCCATTTCTAGGGGGGAAAAAAAACCGATTTCCATGGGAAAAAAACCACATTTCCAGGGGAAAAAAATCCCATTTCCAAAGAGCTCGGGCCCAGCAGAAGGTGCTGGAAAAGCTCTGGGAATTGCTGGGAGAAGTCCCAGTGTGAAACCTCCCGAGGGAAGGGCAGGAGCTGGCACCTGCCAGGTTTCACTCCCTGCTTTATTTTTTATTTATTTTTATTTTTTTTTAAATCCAGGGAGGAGCAGCTCACAAAATCCCAGCTCCAAAACCAGCTGGAAAACAACAGGAATGTGGGAATCGGGCAGGGGAAATTGGGATTTTGGGGAAAATCTGTGTTTTGTGCTGTGCTGATTGGAAAAACATCAGGAATTCTGCCCCCCAAAATCCTGGAAAAACTCCCTGAAAAGGCACAAATTGGGATGGAATTGGCCTTGTTTCTATAGGGATGTGTTTACCATTTAAAGGGTGAAACTTTGTGAGAATAAAATGAACTTTGCAGAAAAATTCCCATTTTTTTCCCTCATTATTGTGGGGGAAAAGCTACAAATACTCACTTAATAAAATCCTGAAAGGACAAACAGCACAGATTCAGCAAAATGTAAATGAATGCTGTTCTGAAAAGTAAAAATTATCTTTAAAAATTGAATTTTAGAATGCCTGGATCTGGCAAGGAGAGAGCAGAGCAGGCTGACACGCTGGGGGAATTGAACCAGGAGAAATAAAATATTGAATTTTATATGTCATATATCATATAATATATTATAAAGAATACAATACATATTATATTATACTATATTATATTATATTATATTATATTATATTATATTATATTATATTATATTATATTATATTATATTATATTATATTATAGTATAGTATTATAGTAATTATATTATAGTATATTACTATTAATATTATTAGTATATTATTATTATNGAATGGAAATCCAGCAAGGGGCACTCTCCATCAAGAGATAACCACAACCATTCCTGCTGGATTTCTGGCAGCTCTAATGGCCCCACAAACAGACTGGCAGCAGATTCCCAGGGAATGGAAATCCAGCAAGGGATACTCCCCATCGGCCATTGCTTCTGGATTTTTGGGAGCACTGACAGCCCCAAAACCAGCAGGGAGGGACCAGGAGAATTCCCAGCAGCAGATTATCAGATGCTGGATTTTGAGGGATTTGAGGAATTCTTCCTCTGACTCTCCCTCCCTTAATCCCCACTGCACAACCTCACTTTGCCCATCCACGTTTTCCCAAGCTGGAATTTGCCCGGACTTTGCTGCCACTTCCTCCTGCAGGAAGCGCCACGTGGTCCCTCATGGACACAAAGCAATCCATCCCTCACATTTCTCTTTTTTTTTCTCTTTTTTTCCCCCTTTTTTCCCAAGGTTTTGAGCTGGGCTGATGCCATCAGGAATTCCTGGGATCAGAGGGTGCAGGGGAGGGGAATTAAGGGCAGAGCCATCGCAAAGTGGGATGGAAGGGACAGCAAATCCCACCCAGGGACACTTTCCATGATCCCAGCCTGGCCTGGGACACTGCCGGGGATGGAGCAGCCACAGCTTCCCTGGGAATTCCATAATTTCTGCTCCACCAGAAATTCCCTCCCTTTGGAGCGAATTTTAACTGGGCAGGAGATGAAGCAACCAGTGCCTGAATAAGTAATATTAATTATTAATAACAATAAAGGGAATCTTTGTGAAGTGCCACACCGGGGAAAGAAAGGAAAAATTAACCAGTTTGGTGATGAACTTCATTAAAACACTCAAGCACTTCTCCAGGGTTCCCAAATTACTCCAAATTAATTTCCTGGAGGTGCCCGGCAGGGACTGCAGCCTCAGCACCACAGCAGGGCCCATTCCCACTGCTCCATCCTCACATTTCCCCACAGGAAATCCCGGAGATGGGCTGTTAATGCTGGATTGAGGGCACAACTCACATTCAGAGGGAAAAAAATATAAAATAAACTGGTTTTGGCCAGCTGGAATTCCCAACGCTACACCCAGGAAGCCGTGGGAAGGATGAATCCCAATTTAGCTTTTCCTTGCAGTGGGATGGATTACTCAGGATTATTCAGTAAATTCCCAGTTTCACGTAGAAAATACCTGATTATTTATTTCCTCATCATATTAAGCATCTCTAGGAAGCTGCAGGAGGAAATCAGGAATTCCACTGCACCAAACTTGCCAGGAAAAGGAAATTTCACCTTTTCCACCATTTACCAAACGGCAAAAAATTGCTGCCAATATTTCACCTCTGCTCATTAATGGGATATTGTGTGTAAAAAAAAAACCTTTTCATCAAGAGGAATCACCTCAAATCAAGGCCACAGTGGGGTTTATTCTGAATTATCAAAGCTGTTTGCTCTGAAACCACTTCACTCTGCAACATCAGCGGCTGCTGTGGCTTTGAACCTTTCACTGCCACCCTCGAGGGACCAACAACTTTCAAAACCATTATTTAAATAAAAAGCAAAGCCCTCCTTGGCCATTTAGCACAAACAGCAGCTCTGAAATACTGCCCTAAAAAGGCTCTTAAAACACATTTCCCCCCTCGCTTTTAAATTTTTAATCCCAAAGCAGGTTTGGGTGTTTTTAATCCCAAAACACCAAGAGTTTTTTGTTGTTTTAAAGGTGAATTTAATTTTGTCAAGGCAGATTTTTCCACAGAACAAATTCCAGTCACGCTGCCAAATGAGAGATGCAGGCCGTGATTAAGATGTAAAAAGGAAACAAGAGTTTCAAAGCGATTTTTGATGCTTATCAAGCCCCAAACCTGGGGAATATCTGCTGCAATCAAAGGTTTGCAAAGACTCTGACATGAAAAGCTCGAACTCTGAAGAAAAAAAAAAGCACAATTTGCAGACAAAAGAGTGGGTGGAGGAAGCTGGTGAGTGTGTGGGAGCAACTTCACACCGAGCTTCTGAAGAAAAACCACATTTTTTGGTGCTACCGGCGCTAAAAATAGAGAGATTCGGGCTTGCCCGGGGAGGCCTCGGCCTGGCCTGGGCCTGGGGGAGCGGGGCCGGCCCGGAGGAAAAAGTGAGGAAAAACTGAGGGAAAAGTGGGAAAAAACGAGGAAAAACAGGATTTCAGGAGAAGGTGAGGATGAGAGGGAAGCAGGATTTGAGGAAAAATGAGGATGTGAGGAAAAACTGAGGAAAAGCTGAAGGTGTGAGGGAAAAACTGGGGGAAACTGACTGAGGGTGTGAGGGAAAAACTGGAGGGAAACTGACTGANCTGCCATCCCCTCCTTTTGGGAGACCCCAAAACGCGGGATAGATAAGGCACAGCCCGGGCCCGGCTCAGCACATGCGGCCGTGCAAAAGGAGATTTTTTTTTTTTCCCCCTGTGAAGCGTCCACCAGGCGGATCCAGGGCACGCCAGGAGGTGTGGGGACCTGGCCAGCGGGCCAGCAGACCTACCTGGATGTTTTTTTCACAGTCAGTTTGCTGGTGGAGGGACAGCTCGCTCTCCAGCACAAATTTCTTGCCGCACTTGTCGCAGATCTGCATGCGCCTGTGCGTGACGTTCATGTGCTTCTCCAGGTACCAGCGCGTGTTAAACACCCTGGGGCACTTCTCGCACGTCAGAGTCTCCTTCTCCTCGCACTTGGGCTTCTGCACGGGCGCCTTGGGCTCCTTGGCTGCTTTCTTCTTGCGCTTGGGGGGCTCGGCGCCCTTGCTGCGGCCGCGCGTGGCTCGGGGCGCCGGGCAGGCGGCGGCGGCCGCGGCCGCTCTCCTGCTCCTCCTCTGGCCAACGCCGCCCTTCTCCGCTCTCTTCTCCTTCTTCTTCTGCCTCTCGTTCTCCTCGTAATCGTTGCTGTCTTCCGTGGCCTCCTCTTCCCCGCTGTCCCCCTCCTCTTCCTCACTGCTGCTCTTAAGGACAGCAGTCTCTTTGGACTGGGAGGGGACACCCTTCTCCCCTTTGGACACATTTAAGGTTTGGTTGTTAAGGTTTACCTCCACTATAATCTGCTCCCTTTTGTAAGTCACTTCATCTTCCTCCTCTTCCTCCTCCTCCTCAGAGTCGTCAGAGTTTTCCCTGTCTTCTTTCACAGCCCGCACCTCTCCTACCGCTCTGCTCTCCCTGAAAAACGGCTGCTCCTCCCTCTCGTGGAGGTGGCCCTTGCCGCCCTTGCTGTCCACCAGCACCGAGAAGGGGCTCCCTGACTCCCTCTTGTACACCTTGGTGGACAGGTCGAGCTCCTGGCCGGGGTAGAAGGC